TGCACTGTCTGGAGCACGCTCCCAAGAATTTCACTCACCAAGGCACATGTGCTGTGGTGATGTGACAATAAAAGTGACTTTGACTTTGACTTTGACTTTATTAAGAATGAAGTCTTAAAAATCTTCATCAATACTGAAAAAACAATGGGTATTAACCAATAAATGGCCAAAACTAAAATTCTATATTATTTTTGCTAAATTAATTAAAAAGCAAAACACTACAAATTAAAAACATCTGTTGTGCATGTCAACATGTCATGCACAATTAAATATTCAACATTGATAATGTAAAAAAATGTCCAGGATTGGCAAAAACCGCAAGATGTAAACGGGCCAGCCGGGGCTACAGCTTACAACTACGACCTTCAAGGCCACAATCAAACAGCATAAACTGGTATTTATGATTATTTCACATAGAAGAAGGACACACGTTTGAATCGTGTCTGCACCGATTGGTTTGTTATCACATGGCTACTTTAAACAGCTCCATTAGGCCTTTAGCCCCAAAGATCGCACATTTAGAAAGATAATGATAAATTCTCAAATGTTCACACCTCATTTCTTTACAGAAGATGGTTCTATATTACTATATTAATGTTCCACTAAATTATGCGATCGTCTGATGAGTTTTGAGCGCTCTCTCTCGTCTTACTGCCATTACACACAGTGGGGAAGAAATGTCATCAAAATGATTTTAAATAAAAAATAGCAATTTAATGAGTTTCTGTTTTTATAACATAGCTATGCCTATGATATAGGACTTAGCCTATCACACAAATAAGAGTCCTGTTTTTTTTTCCAATATCTGCACGATCGCAAATGTACAATAAACAACAACTTACAGAGTAACTTTCAGACACAAAATTCAGTTTTGCTCCGTCAGAAAGAAAACAGAACAAACAGCAGAACCGCTGCGTCTCCGAACAGCAGTGTTTTGTTCCTCAGTGTTTCACGGACCAGCTAATGATTCAATCAGGCTATAAGTATGTACAGTCGTTTGCAAAAGTTAAATGAATCAGCTTTTTAAACGAATCGGTTGATTCAACTCACTCATTAAGACAGTCACTTGCTGCCACCTACTGGTGGCTGTAGTTTCATATTTAAAAAAGTCGCTTATTTCATTTTTGCAATCATTTAATATTTCTACATTAAAACGTTATATAACATTTATGCACAATCCATCTATGAATTTTGTTGATAGTGATTTCATTTGATTGTTAATAGCCAGCATGTCTTTTTATTCGATTGAATTTATTGATTAAATAAGAACCTGACATAAGAGGACACAGATATGACAATAACTTTTATCATACTAATAAGCCTTTTTTTTTTTTTTTTGCTCAAAGTTATTTCAGGGTTTTGATCTCTCAACTGAGAGAACACATCCAGTTTATTATATTATAATGAATATTTAATATTACATTTAAACTTTGACTATAGCCTAGACATGTTGCATATTAATTGTACTATTTATGAACCTCAAAGCACATGTTTGTGTATTTTGTGTTATTCCATAATGATATTCTATTTGAGGGCATTTGTAGTGTAGGAATAGGGCCCAAACATAACCTCAAGCCCAGGGGCCCCCGGCCCCCTAAATCCTGCCCTGCATACATCAATGGAAAGCTTATTTATTCATCTTTCAGATGATGTATAAATCTCAATTTCGAAAAATTGATCTTTATGACTGGTTTTGGGGTCCAGGTTCACATATATCTGATAAAATTACAGTGCTTCTTTTAGAAGTTATATTTTTGTTAAAATTAACACACAACATAAAAGCATTTATTCACGCTAACACGATATTTTGCTTGTCAAAGGCGTAACTGCTAATACATTTGATAAGACTTTCTGTCTTTCAGACATTTATCACACCTCTTCAGTTGTTATCATATTCAGGGCGCCAAGCACAACAATCATCGGCAATCCCGAATTTTAAAAATTGTGCATTCGAAATCTCTTGATAGCGATTCCGCAGCTGTATCAGAAAAACCCACACACAACTGTGCCAATCATGGCAGACGCCCTTTTTAATATTGTGTGCAGTTTGACTGAAGCTCAGTTTGGAGGAGTCGCGTGTCTCAGCGAGGGTAACCACAATCAGTCATGGCGTCTGTAAAACGACCAGATTTAGTATGCTTCACAATCTCCCAAATAATTCCATAATGTAGGATCATTTGTACACGATTATATATGTAGTTGCTGTTTGATATGTTAAATCATCTTAACAGATGTGTAGGAAGATATTCTAGAGTGAAGCATCATGGGA